GTGTGTGTGTGTGTGTGTGTAGTAGGTGCACTGTGTCCTTGGTGGCTCATTTTGATAAACCTGGCCATTTCTTCACAGTGGTTTCATGCTGCCATGGCCATTGACAGATAGAGAAGTACTTCTTTGATTAAGACCCCCAAATATGTTCATTTTTATTATTCCCATTGTGAAAGAATATTCTGTGCAAATTTCTTCTGCCCTTTCCTAGCAAAGGGCTTGTCATCAGATAATTTAGAAATATATGTTGATCATTTTGTAATGAATACCCAGAGCTCACTTTTCCTCCTAAACACTTCACCATCTGCTCACTACTTCTCCTTTTCAGTTTGTTCCTTCAAAGGTGGTTACCTGTATCCAATTTTAAAATGTGTCTGGAGTAACAAAATTGGGCTTGCTTTTTTCTGAAAATTTTCACAGTTCTGCCTAGCTGTGATGTTTCTCCAGTTCTGACCTGTAGTTATTGGAATAAATATTGATGACATTACAGATATCAAAATATTGTTTTCTTCATGTTTGGCAGACTGAAGACCTAACGAGCTAAGCATATGTTTACATCCTGTCAGTGCTTAATCCCATGTTTACTGAATGGGTTGGCATTTTAATGTTGGGCCCGTCAATGTATGCATATATGTATGTATGTTTTTAACATTATCTGAGAAAGTGCCATAATGCTGAGGCTTTTTGTGCTGTCCTGAATACCTGATTCCCTGCTTTTTAAGATGCCTGCACTCCAAGGATCTTTTCTTCTGGTGGGGGAAAAACAAACAAAACATTTTCCCCTTGGCCTGCTGTTTGAACACATTTCACTGTTACTTTGCATCTGTGTGAGCTCGACCGGTCAGCTTCCTTGTCCGTGAAACCCATGGGTCTCTCTCTTTCTCTCGCTCTCTCTTTCTCTCCCCCTCTCTCTGTTCGCAAGCAGCCAGGAGCTATGGGCGCAGAAGAGGTAAAGTGTGGCTTTCATTCTCTGTGTTTCTGCTTGTGGCAGTGGTGGGTGGCTGTGTGGGGGAGCAGCACAATGAGGAGCTCTTTGTGAGACTTGCCAATCTTTGGATGTGAGGGTTTCTCCTGTGATCCTAGATTGTGGTTGGATTTCCCTGTTTCTGATTTGGATCGTGGCTTCTAATTTTTACGCTTTGGAAGAAAGTACATTAAGAAGTGCGGCACCTGACTGGTGGCATGTGCTGCTTGTGGAACCCAGCTTGCATTTTTCCCGTCGGTACGCTTTTCTTAAATCGGTGTGTTGCCAGCGAGAGGGATGCCTTTAGGAGTTTTGCACAAACAGTAACTCCAAGGACATAAAGGGGTGACCTTGTAATAACAGATAAGTGGAAACTGGTCAGCAGTATTAAGTATCGCTTCCCTAACAAGCACTGAACGCTGCTTTGAGTCCTTATTTTGCAGTGCGGAATGATAGGAACTGAAGGTAAGGCATCACACTCAAAGCCCCATGTTGTCTATTGGGCGCAGTCACCGGGCATATGCAGGCGCAGTCACCGGGCATATGCAGGCGCAGTCACCGGGCATATGCAGGCGCAGTCACCGGGCATATGCAGGCNGTCACCGGGCATATGCAGGCGCAGTCACCGGGCATATGCAGGCGCAGTCACCGGGCATATGCAGGCGCAGTCACCGGGCATATGCAGGCGCAGTCTCCAGCTCACACGTCCTGGAGCCGTAATTTTTCTTGGAGGAAAAACAGCATCATTCCTGTGCTAGTTTGCTTTTTTTTTTTTTTTTTTTTTTTTAATTAAAACTTTTTAAAAGCCCATTAACTCTGTAAATATACCCCTCGGGTGATTCCTATGGCGAGACGCTTTTTGCTGATTTGGAGCATTAAACTAATTGGACTAAGGACAGTGATGTCTGGTAAAAGCAGTCAGTCATTCTCTGCGGCACCCTCACAGCGTTTGTGGCATTATGGGAACACGGCTAGGCCCCGATTTAGCAACGGCACAGCAGTGCTTTGAGAATGTGCTGAGGTGGCCGGGTGCATGGAGTGAACTGAGGTGGAGTAAATTTCCATGATTATCTGGGTGAACACTGCAAGTGTTGTCTTCTGGGCCGGCCAGTAGGAAGTCTCTGAATATAGTGAAACAGGAATCATCAGAGTTTGAATTTGATCTTAATTAAATATTAACATAACCATTTTTTTTCCGATTCAGTCACTTGATTATTTCTGTTTGTCTGTACAATGACATCTTCATCATGTGTATGTGTGTATCACTGTGCCCATGCCCAGAAGATTGTGGGATCAAATCCCATGGCCAGCAGCATAATCATATCACCCCTGGGCCTTTGAGATGGTGAATGCTCTTTAACCTCAAGCTTACCTCACTTGTATGTCATTTTGGACAAAAGCGTCTGCTGCATAAATGTAAATAAACCATGTAGGACACCTAAGTAGTGGATGTCTATAGTCATTTCTACTGTCTAAATAAAGTACCATCCAAACACCAACTCCAGAAGAAAACAGGCATTTACTCTCTAATTTAAGCATCATGTAATGGGCCTGATGTTTATTCCAGTGTCAAAATGATTACTTTTTAAAATAATTTTCCTCCAGCCCTTGGGTGTTGGGTTGTAGCTCAGGAGTAAAACAGCCTATTTTACCTCTTTTTTTTGAGGCACCTTCAGAGTTGTACAAAACTGATCTATCTGCAGGATTCCTTGAGTTTGTGGGAGGAACTGTGAAGACTTTTATGACCATCTTTCATACACTCACACAATACCACCTTAAGAGCTGTAATATAAATGTGTGTGTTTTGGGTTTGTGTTCAGGTCTATATTATGGAATGAGTGCTTAAACCCTTAGGGGAGGAAATGAGAAAAGGATGTTTTTTAAAATGTAGCAGCACTGGCTGTTTGTAGGAAGGAAACCTTAAGCGTTTTCAAATTTTCTGGCAGCGTTAATGTTGTCAAATTCTCCTCAGTCGTGCATTCTGCCCCTCTTACGTAGCATACTTGCTCTTAGCATCATTTATTAAGAAGTCTTGTGCGCAGCCGATCGAACATCCCAGGGTCCCCATTCAATCCCTTGAATTCGACACGTTTGAAAAATGACTACAGGCAGAATCCATTTTGCATTTGCACATGTAAATTGATGTGCAAATTTTGGAGTTTGGACTTTATATTTCAAGGGAGACTGTATCCGTTTTTAAATGCTTCAGTTCAGCTCTGTTAGTAAAACCAGGAAAACCAACTATGATTATTAAGTATTCTTCCCCTTTCTTGGATTGTCCCTTTTCAAATGAACATTTAAGCGTACATATTTTCCCCTCGATAGGAGGCATAATCCTTGATTTTGTTCACCCCCTTCTCTATAGTGTTGGTGGTTTTCCTGGTTACAGGAGTGCAGCACCTTGTTCACACCTTTCTTTTAGATCCCTTTTCTGTAATGGAATCACTGTATGAAAAGGCTAAGCTCCTTACACTGGTGCTGCTGTGTGCTTACAGGGATACAATGGGGCCCAGTCACAGTTCAGCAAGCCCCTAATGTGGGGCTGCCTTCGACCCCGGGTGTAACCTCTACCTCTCTTTGCGTGGCTAATATGTGCTATGTGACCCCGCCCCTGTAGACTGCTTCTCAGCCATGCTAGCGATGGGGTCCACAAAAACCACTCTTTGACACCACATGATTATTTCCCATGGGCATGAAGTCCTGTACAGTGTAGAGATCAAATACTTTTAATAAAAAAGCGATAGGAACCATGTGTTCTTGGTTATATCTGTTTTCTTTCCCAGCTGAGTCTCATCCGCAGATGCTCCTGGATCAGATAGGTTAGGGCTGGAGGGGGAGGAATGTGGAGAATGTTTGGAAAATTAGCTTTCTGTGCGTCTGTCCGTAAATGATTGTGGTTATTGTCCTGTGCAAAGAACTTTACGGCCATGTTTGTTAGCATGTTTGTTTAGCCATTTAACATGATGTCTCTGCCTTTTTCACTAACCCTTTTCCTCAATCTTCCCCTTTTTCTTCTTTCTGACTCCCCCCCCCCCCCCCCACCCTTCTTTTCTCCTCTCCTCTATTTGATCATCTTTCTTCCTTGTCTTTCTCTCCTTCCTTTCCTCCGTCCAGGCCGTTCTTCCCTCTTCCCCTTTGAAGATGGCTTCTTGGACGAAGGACACGGTGACCAGTCGCTGACTCCTGGCATGGGCTCTCCCACACGCTGCCAGAATGGCGAGAGGATTGAACGTTACTCCAGGAAGGTCTTTGTCGGTGGCCTGCCTCCTGATATCGATGAAGGTCTCCTTGTTTGTTTTTTTTTTCTTCCTTTCTTGCTTGTCTGACAGCCAGGGTCATTGGATGTGATCTATTTATTCATATTTAGGATAGTAAATCGCCTCATCTAGTGCTTCAGGTTTATTTCATATATTCAAATAATAATAATCCTAAAATGTCCCATCCTTAGTTATATTTAGGCTCTTCAAGACCAATTTCAGATCAATTGTTCAAAAATCTGGTGCCCGCCCTATTGCAGAATTGCTTTTCTTTTGACGATAACTGCTGCTTCTTTCTCAGGTCACAGAAAAACAGTTAAGTGCCTAGTCTGTGTACCAGTGCTGGGCCTTGGATTGTTAGCACTAGACAAATGATACTGTTTCCTCACACCATTTCAGAATGACTGTGCTACGGGCTAGATGGCTGTACCTTCTGGAATGGGGGCTATTTTCCTTGAAGCTTACACTTAAAAAATAATATAAAAAATTCTTTACAGGTTTAATCACATCCCCTGAAATCTTAGTCTCTGGTTCTAAGTCTAAGGTTCTAAGTAAACTAACAATCTCATAAACGACAGGCTAAATATATCAAGGCCTTCATATTTCAAACTGCAGTTATAGTCTTAGAATGGTAACTAGGGAAAATAATACTTGATCTGTTTAGCCAAATAGCTCATGGCTTGGTGTGAGTACTTGTTAGAGCTTTTGTTGTCTAATGTGAAATACAAAATAATACGGTCAGTTAGAGAGTGGTCGGTTAATGAGGTCTGGTTTAAAAAGTTCATTTTTTTTTTTTACTTAATGAAATATAATTATGATTTTTGTGTATCCAGAGTTTTGTAGTTGCCGTTTTAGTCTGCGGTGGAAAGTCTATTATACACTACTGCCAAAACAGTTTTTCTGTCTTAGCCACTCTTAGCAGCACAGTGACTTGGACATCCTAAATTAAAGAGGAATATGATAACCTAATTCAGAAGAAATGTTTTATGTAATTAAGTAAAGTTAATACTACATTAGTGTGTGGCTTCAAAAATCTGTTGCTTTTGTAGTTAACGCCATGCATTCATTGTCCTGTTGGTATGCAGAAGCGTTTCTGATTGAGGAATCTGCACTCATTCGCTAAATAAAACGAGTAATAATAGTTCTTGACCATGACGGTTGCCCTTAGCAGGATTGCGCAGACAATGACCTCATCGTTTTTAAGTGGATAAAGTGGACCTTGTACTATTTTCTGTCTCTGCAGATGAAATCACCAACAGTTTCCGGCGCTACGGGCATCTTGTGGTGGACTGGCCACATAAAGCTGAAAGCAAGTCCTACTTCCCACCCAAAGGTAATTACCTGCTGGAAAAATGAGGCCTTTCAGTGTTCATCCAGCTGTTTATGCAGCACACTGCACAAACACGCACTGGCCTAGACCAGGCTGTGTTGACAACACATTGCGCTTTTTCTCTACATACCTGCATGCGTGCATGTGTGTGTGCATGCACCAGCAGAATGGCGCATTTTATTTATATCCTAAGTGGATATATGGCTGCATAATGCCATACATGTATTTACCCATCCGTGTGAAGGATTTAGTCATGGCTGCTGCCATGGCAACCTGTTTGTTCAGGATGTACAAAAATGCATCGCATTTTATGCTTTATCAAGTGTTTTCTGATGATAATGTTTCTGGTGAATAAGCTACCGTCGACCACAAATAGCGAAAGAAGGATGGTTCATCTCTAACAAGGAGTGTTTTTAAAGATATTTGATTGTCTGCACACCTCAGCGTTTCCCTACCAGCACCCTCAAGATAAACGCATGTATTAATATGCAAACCACTGCTGTTATTCTTTTGATATTTTGATTTATTTTTATATTTTCAATTTTCATTTGAAAACCAGTTTAGCTTTACTTAGTTTTCAGTGTAGTTTTTTACTTTTTTATTTTAAAGCTAAATTTCCATTTAGTTTTATATTTTGTTATCATTTCAAGTCATTTTTAAGAGAGACTGACAGTTGTAGAGCTGTTGTATGTGTCCTCTCTTTAGAGAATTCTGCATGAATATACAGACACATTAAGTAGTAATGTACTCAAACAAATCGTGTTTCAGGCATTAATGGTAAAGATAAACAAATCTTTACTTTAGCCAAAGCATATTTAAAAATGGTAAAGGGAAAGTGCTTTTTAAGGTTTATTGGAAGCTGTATTATAAAGTTTGATTTCAGTTTTCGAAAATGTATTCTTTTAGTTTTTGTTGTCAGTAACGATAATAACCTGGTGCAAACAAGCCAGTCTGCCTGCTGAATTTGTGCCACGCTGCCCTGCAGCCCCTTCCATGAAACTTCAGACCCCCCCAGGCCTGTGTCGGGGGCTCTTCATCTTAGACAGGTGAACCCAGTTGCTGGCCTTTCCAGGTACTTGTGCCGTTTCATTTTTCCCTCAAAACGGCAGCACAGTTCGCCATAATAAAGCAACTATTAAAACTGGCACTGGGAAATAGCTGGGATTCTTCTAGCAGATGGTAATATGCTGCATCTGGCTAAGAGTGAAACTTGGCCAGTTCCTTGTCTTTTTTTTTTGTTATTTATTTGACACTCCCAAGAAAACTATGGCACCCTTTTACAAGTGACTAGTGTGGTTACCCACAAATCTATAGAGAGGACACCCAACGCACTGTATGTAATTTGGTTTACTAGCTTGGCACAGGAGAAGCTACAATATGCTGTAATTCAGTGCACGTAGCACTGTAGCAGTACTGCTACCAAATGTGTCTTAATTGGGCCCTTTCTCTCATTTTGGAAATAATGCAATTCTCAGATTTGCAACATTTAGTTTTGTATGAGGTCACTTGGTGTGAATGCTTTTGTGTTGATTTATGTCTTTTGGTACTGGGTGTGCATTCGTCAAGGTGCATGTTTTGCTAACCTTTTTGAGGATATATTTAGTGAATCCAGAGAAATACACCATACACGAAGGTAAGCTGTAGGTGTCCATGTGAGGGTCTCAGAGGTTTGGTCCAGCTATCCCATACATCATCCCTAAGACGGCAGGCTGGGCTGGGCCCCCTGTGCATGTGCTTGCATGCCTGTGTATCCCCAGCCCAGGGATCTGCCTTTACTCCAAGCCACGACTTGCACCGACCGGCTGCTCGCTGGAGAAACGCGCTCCAAGTTGCTTGTGTGTTCCTGGCTAATTTGCTGGAGCTAAGGCACCGAATGTTCCTAGTTATTTCTGTCCCTCGGAGGAGGGCCCAGCGGGACTCTGTGTGGGTGCTGTAGATGGCATGGGGGCCAAGTCCCAGCCCAGGCCCTCTTTAGACTAGGATCATCTTCTGGGCACACCGCCTCATGCAATCAGCTAGCTCCCCCCCCCCCCAAACATTTTGGTCCACTATGGGGCTACCTGCCCCAATTCAGCTCCATGACACACATTAAGAGCAAGCAGCTGTATGGAACAGGAACTATTTAAAAGTTTTCCACTCTGTAATTGAATTTGGGAGTAACACGTAAGTAGATGTTTTATTGCAGGATTTGTTTAGAGACTGGGTGGTTGTTTTGGGAAAGGGGAGGTGATATCTTCCTGCGTTTATAAATGAATGTTCCGTGTATATGTACAATTTAGTTTTTAATATTATGGTAGCTAAAATCACCAATATTACAACCAAACCCTAGGCTCATCCATGAGGTGAAATATAGATAGAATGTCATATAGTGGTTTTAGGACTTCAGCTGCAGTGTAATAGGTTGCAGACTAGTCTTTCAATATTATAGTAAGGGATGTTAAGAAATTTAATTTGTTGATCTATTACTTACAGGTTAAACCTTAACCATTTGTTTTCTTTAGGTTGTGAAGGTTGCTGTTACGTTCTTGACAGTATATTCTAGCAATTGAGGAATGCAAATGTTTTTTCAAAATATTTTTGTTGTGTTCATAAATCTGTGTCAGTAACCTGGTAAGGTTAGGGGGTGGGTAACAGCATATAGCTGTTTTTTTTCCCTCCTTTCCCCCCTTTTCCCCATATGGTGAGTCTGGACAGTTGTGATGATACAACCTGATCCAGGAAAAATGACCAGTAACCTGTTCAGGCCCTGAAAACTGGCCAAAAGCGTGGCATTAAAGCATGCTGCTAATTCTGTTCTGAGCTTTGTGTCTGATCTATTTCAGCTGGAAGCTCGTTCTTGACCTCCAAAATTCGCAACCCCAGTGAAGACATTTCATCTGTTTTTAGCATTGTTACTGTGTCTATATATTGTTACAGAACATTACAGCCTCATTAAACTACATTAATTTGAAGGAATACCGGATACCCTCAAAGCTAAGTTGGACTGTAACAAGCACCAAGACTGTCCTGACTTGTTGCAGTTTGGTTGCAAGTTCTTGTTTTTCTGTCAAGTGTGCTGGTATTTCATTTGTGTTACCAAAGTTTTGTGTGTGTGTGTGTACACTTTTTCAACTCTTGACTCCCCACTAAAGTCTGCGTTGTGTGATGTTGACCTGATGGCTCACAGATGACGCGATCTGAATATGAAGCGACATTGAAAAGTTAAATTCTGATATGAGAAGAGCTGCAAGTTAATGTCATCTGCTGTCTGGGTTGAAATGAGTTTGAATGAGATTGTAATAACTCAAAGGCAAGCTTATATTATTCAGTTATTGGAAAAAGGAAGTCAATTTTTATCTGCGTGTGCAATTTGTGCCTTTATGTCGTGGTTGGACGTGTGGCTGCTGACTATGCATTATTAACAACTACATCCTGCAGTCTAGATGAAGTAGTAGCAGGTACCAGTAATTTTTTAAACAAATGTGTTTTGGTTCTCAGTTACCTGATTTGATGCATCACTGCGCTGGTCTCTCTTTGTACCTGTGGGCTGTTCAGCTTCATGAAAGAATGCTATATTCCCAATGCCCACACACAAATGCCAACATATTAGCCATAGGCACTGTGCTAAATCTTTTATTGACTACGGTTATTGGATTTTGGACACTTGAAGCCTTGAGGTGCAGCTGTGCTGACGGTTTATGTGTATCTGGACATCGTGGGTGTTAAACTTAGCAGTGTACGTAGCCCTTCCATTGACGTTTACCTTTGGGTTGCCCATGAAAAGGAGTTTTAGACGTCCTAAACACAAACTAGCTGTGAAAAGTAATTCTTGTGGCCCGATGCACAATGAGCACCACTACTTTATTAAATAGGCAGTCTGTAAGCAGGTGTCCAAGGTTGTAATTATATTTGTGCGTAGTGACTTGGCAAGGTTGGCGAACATTGCACTGGATAGTAGAAATTTGGTCTAGACCATAATATTGCATCCTGCCTGTTCCCGGGATAGGCTCCGGTCCCCACTGCGACCCCAGCTGGGATTAAGCGATTACGGTGATGGATGGATAATATTGTATAAACAAATTATGTAAATATGTGAGTATATGGATTATGCTTATTTGGAATCCAGTCTGCTTAAAAACCATGAATTGTTTCACTTGAAACGTGTGAATGTAACTCTGGGAGAGAATCCTATCACAAATCATCAAACCAGGCATAGCTTGGAGAAGCAGAGTATTTCCTAACTAAGAGATGAGGATGAGATAGCTTTAAGTCATTAGAAACCGGAACTATTAGTATCAGGACAGACACAGACCTGTTAGAGATGATAGCATTATGTGAGACTAGACTACAAGATTTTCATTTTAAACCAAAATTGCAAAGGTTTGTGACTGATTTTACATTAATTTCCGGTTCTTAACTGTAACCGTTTCATCGGGTGATTGATTTCTAACAATAGGCTGTCAATGATACCCTATATGATGTTATAAAATTATTTTTTATCTTGAATAAACATACATGGTCTAGTAATTCTAGTAACATTTTATAAAGGCTTAAGAATTTTGATTTTGAATACATGGTTTATATTTCTTGAATCTGAGCGCCATTTATTGTAATCCAAGTGATTTTAGGTGCCAGGTATGTCTAGATAGTTGCAAAGCTTTGGGGGGAAAAAATCTCCCTTAAATGTCAGAAACTACCCTGCCTAAGTATATTTTACCTAGTTTTCCCTCAGAAGTGACCTGCTGATGTCTGATGCATGACTTTTACTATTGGTACATGTGCTGTTGGCTCACTTGGACTCCACTGATTCTGTGTTGCCAATGCATCTGTTAGTTGTCTTAGTTGACCCCTGGAGTTGGGAGTGCAGGTCTTGGACATCTGTTTTAGGGAAAGATTTAAATCTGAGAGACTGTGGTTTTTGGTTTGTTATATATTAGGGGGTCTTTGCTCTCCATAGCTGATTTGTGACAAGAGCAGCACACACTATTGTATAATAATCAGGGACAATGGCGTGAATATTGATTTTAGAGACCTTGAATAGAAAGCATCAAAACAAACAGCACATTCACTGGCTCACAGCTCAAGCTTCTCACCAATACACTCAGACTCCATATCCTTTGTACTCCAGTATCTCGTCATCGTCATTCAATCCCATTGTTATTCTATGATTTAAGATGATTCTTTATTCTCCCGGCATAATAGGGAACTGAATACTTGCCAACTCATTGGTATAGTTAATGCATTGAATGGGGAGTGTGAGGTTATCATGCTGCTCTGGGTGTTTGTATCATACAGTGACATACTTTTGTAATTGGCTTTCAACGGGTTGTTTCCCAACTACTGCAGACTGGTGCGACAGGAGCCTGAAAACTCACATAGCGGACACGTTGCTTTTCTGTGTTCCTATCCCCCACACTTCTGTTACAGTTATGAATAGCCGGCAAATATGACCAACTGGAGCTGCTGTAGCAACGGTGCTGTATACCTTTCCAGTGCTACAGCACTGGACAGTTCTCACTTTTACAATGGGGTTGACAAGAATGTTGGGAGTTCAGCTTTTTTCCCCCATAAATGTGTAGGTGTTAGATCACAATATATTGGCATAATTACCGGAAGAATGAAAAAAAAGCATCATCGTTAGTCTACGATTTGAAATTGATTTTACCTGGGACATGAACAGATGGGACCTAATGAAAATGATGCCTGTATGTGTCCTCTGATAGGTTTCCTGTGTAGAACTGGGGAAATTAGCTGGTGCTCAGGCTTTTTATGACCTCATTACAAGTTTGAATCCCTGCTGGGACATTCTGTAGGACTGAGAAGCTTCATATGAAACCCTCAAGGAAGAACCAGGCTTTTTCAATGCATTATATAACATGACAGACATTGGCCAAAACCATGTGAATTCAAAGGAGAGTGAAAAGGTAAAAAGCCACAGAAGAATGGAGCATGAAATGCTTAAGCCTCCTGTCTGCAGTGTTGGATGAAGCACTGGAGAAGGTGCTGATAAGCTGCTGGGAGGGAAGTATGGTCCTTAGGTTGTTACTGTTTCGATGGGTCTTGACCCATGATCCCACCCTTGTTTCTAACAACAGTGCTGATAAAGCATGCTGGTCCTGAGGCTCTCCCACAGCTAACCAACCAAGAAATTGTATGGTTTTCTGATTATTGTGTGGCAAGACTCACTGGTGCAGAAAAGGACTTGCTACAAACACTGTATTCACCCACTGGAGCAGTGGTTTTTAACGTGCCGTTAATTACTTTGGGGAGGTAATTTGCTCCCTTCCAGGGTTAAGGTATTTGCTTATTTAGAAGACAGTGGGCGTAATTACTGTCTTTGCTACCGCAGTGGATAATTGCATGTACATTATAGTGCAGGAGCTTCTGGTAGATTTTCATTATCTCTGTATTCTTGGTTTCGAGACCATGACAGTCTTCTCGTTCATCCTCCAGGCTATGCTTTCTTGCTGTTCCAAGAAGAGACTTCTGTACAGGCCCTCATTGACGCCTGCATCGAGGAAGACGGCAAGCTCTACCTGTGTGTGTCCAGCCCAACTATCAAGGACAAACCGGTGAGTTTTGACCATATTGTCTTCTCATTGTGCTTTTATTTATAGAGAACTTGTCTTGCCTTACATTATTCCCATTATCATGTCTAAACTTTACCTTTATCTTCCCTTTGTTTCCTCTGCCCCTCTGTCTGAGCATCATTTATTAGACAGCACTGCATTCTCTGAGGTCTTTCTAGTGCATCCCAGGCCTAGCAAACAGTTGGAAGGGCCATTAACAAACTCTGTTATTAAGTGTTTAATTAGGTTTTAGTGCCAGTCATAAGTCCCAGTGCAGCCTAGTAACTCTGATTAAAGAGCAACCTCTGCTCTGCCTCTTGTATGTTCCAGTCCTTCTACTGGGCAAACAGTGGTGCAGTTTATGGTACCATTAGGGAACACTCCCTCAGCTCACTGCAGGGAAAGTCAGGAAACATTTTTCAAGTCCAGTGTTTAACCTTAGTCCCTTTTTACGGTTGTGTGTCGTTAAAGCAAGGGGATACATTCTGAGAAATGCATCCTTAGACAATTTCATTGTTATATGAATGTCATAGTGTACTTACACAAACCTTGATGGTATAGCTTACTATACACCTAGGCTACATGGTATAACCTAAATGATAAAAAATTACAGTATAGTAAATGCATAAACTAGCAAGTTTATCGTTATCAAGAATTCTGTACTCTACATGATAGTATATGCTACACTTTTCCACAACTAGCAGTGCAATAAATTTGCTTACACCAACATCACCACAAACACGTGAGTAACGTGTTACGCTCCAATGTTACGATGGCTGTGATATCACTAGGTGACAGGAATTTTAAACTGTTATATTTTTATGGGATCACCCTTCCGTGTCTGGTACATCGTTGACTGATACATCTTTATGAGGTGCATGACTGTGTGTGTGTCTATGTGTAGTATTATAGTATATTATTAAGTGTTACCACAACAAGAGTAACACATTTTTGGATTAGGAAATAAGTGCCATGAAAACCCACTTTCAATTTGTTTTAAATGAAGTTTCATGTTTGTGTACCATATATACACATTTCTAGAAGTTTAAGTAGTTTCTCTTCATCTGTCTGCCTACATGATTAGTTGTTTATTTTTATCTTAATGGCCGTCTTACTGTATAAGTCATCGTTGGCATCATTCCCCATTTTCCCAGGTTCAAATCCGACCCTGGAACTTGAGCGACAGTGACTTCGTTATGGACGGCTCCCAGCCCTTAGACCCACGGAAGACCATCTTTGTGGGTGGGGTCCCCCGGCCCCTTCGTGCAGGTGACTGAAAAAAGTGTGGGGAATGGAATTGAATAATGTTGGGGTGTGTGTGAGAATGGGGTAGTAATGCTCACCCATTTTAACCACCCTAGTGGAGCTGGCAATGATCATGGATCGCCTATACGGAGGTGTCTGCTATGCCGGCATCGACACAGACCCGGAGCTGAAGTACCCTAAGGGGGCTGGACGTGTGGCCTTCTCCAATCAGCAGAGTTACATCGCCGCCATCAGCGCCCGATTTGTCCAGCTCCAGCACAATGACATTGACAAACGGGTGAGTAACATATTGACGGTATGCCCAGATGTCCGAGTGTGCTCGGGTATTACAGAAAAATGCACAGGGACATAAGTCAAGCCAAGCTTGCTTTTTCAGACGTCAGTAGTGAGTCTCGAAACTGTTGAAACTGAGCAAACTCTACAATACTGTCTATCTTACAAGCCTGTGAAGTGTATCCATAGTAGGGGACATTACAGGGTTATTTCACGTGATTGTCACTTCAATAAGTCCTTTTCGCCGTCCAAGACAGTCCCTTCACACCTTGTATTGTCAGCCTTACTATAGGAAAGCATATTCTCCATTGCATATGTTGTTTTTTTCTTTTTCAAAATTATCAAATGGGGGGGAAAAAAATCAGTTTTGCTTTGAATTATTTAGTCTTTTGGGAAGCACTGGTCAGAGATAAAGAACAATGTACCATTAATATGTTAGAGATGACTACAGAGAAGTCTGTCCTCCTTTTACTTCCTGGGTGGGGTGACGATGCGCTCTATGACCTTATACTGTAGTTCTAGAACTGGGGTTCGATCAAACCTTTTATCCTAGCCTGTACTTTGACAGTCTTTTTGGAGTGGGGGGTCTAGTTCTATAATCATGGCTGTAGTCTGTTGGAGGTCTGACAAGCATTTGAAGTCACTGGTGCTGGTAAGATAATTATAGGCCATCTAGTTCCTATAGAAGTCCTTCCATGCTAGTGTTCCAGAGTTGGCTGCTGACGCTTAGTTATTTTTGGTCTGCAGCCTCTATATGTACCAGATCATGACCAACCAAGACTGGTAGTCTGCCAGAGAGGTCAAAATCTGCAGAGGCTAAATTGTGCACACTTCCTCAGGGCTGTCATCAGAATGGAGCAGTTTGCCTCTGTGTCTTTATTTTAGCCAGTAATTTGACCTGGTTAGGAAGGCAGCATAGTAATGTTGCCTGCTAAACATGGTCATTTAGTTTTGAAATGGATAACGTTTGTTTGGGGAGCTGTGACACGGGGTTCCACTCTCCAAACAAATTTGCATGATGAAAACAATGTTGCTAAGCAACACCCTGGGATGCTCAATTGTCTTCATTGCCTCCATCTTTGTGGCCTACCAATGACTTTGTCATAAATTATAACAAAATTGATGTAAAAAAAAATAATAATTTGGGTTGTAAATTAAATGTTACCTGAGGCTGCATTGCTGTTTGTATTATAAATCGGGTAGTTTCGGCTGTTAAAACAATATCAGTTGCACTTTGTAAGATGCTTAATTATGATTTAAGGTTTTTTATTATGTATGTTTTCATGTACACTTTAAAGAATGAAATATTAAAGATTTAAATATTCCTTCTCAGAACAGTTTTCTCTTTAGAATGTGTGGTTTCTGTAAAAAGAAGTGTCGCATCTCCCCTTTTCAAGTCCGTGTACTTTAAAATCATAAAATCAGGGGCAGTGTATTTTCTGCGAGGGTTCACCAGCAGACAAATGACTCGCATATGGGCTCAATTTTGGTGAAAGTAATTTGTGAAAAAATGTGAGTTTAGAGCGGTAGGTGGTGGTAATATGAGTGTCAAACACATTCATTTGCATGTCTGTTTTCCTGCTATCCTGTTAATCTACCCAAAGGCTTTTTTTTATAATTATTGCCTTGTATTGTGATCTAGCAGTCAACACATTCTAGACAGTTTGTGTAAACGGAGCTTGTTTTTCCTGCTGTGTCCCATGGACCACAGACCGGGGGGGCAGGAAGGGGATGCCCATGCATCATTCAGAATGCAGCGATGAACAATCACGAAAAAATTACCGAATGCACACTAATAAAACCTTTTACTAATAAGTCAGAACTGTACAGATATGCGTCTACATAACTGTACACCTGTTTCCTTGAAACGATGCCCCCCCCCCCCATTCAGATGTGTTCTGCAGTCCATGCTATGTACTAATGTTAGTGTTGGACTTTTGCTAAAGAGAAATTGGGTAGACATTCCGGGTGAGATACTGACTTTATTCTCTGCCTTTTCCGTCGAAAGGTGGAGGTGAAACCCTACGTGTTGGACGACCAGATGTGTGACGAGTGTCAGGGGGCCCGCTGCGGGGGAAAATTCGCCCCATTCTTCTGTGCCAACGTCACATGCCTGCAGTACTACTGTGAGTACTGCTGGGCCAGCATCCACTCCCGGGCCGGGCGTGAGTTCCACAAGCCGCTGGTCAAAGAAGGGGGTGACCGTCCACGTCATGTGTCCTTCCGTTGGAGCTGAGAAGTCAGAGTAGCCCGACTCCTCCTCCAGAGACACCCCGCCAGCACCACCCGCAACCCCACTACCCCCCCGCCCCCCCGGACAGCGCTGTACCCCCTCCCATCAACCCCCACGCTAACAATAATTACAAACCATGGGTTTTTTTTGTAATGTATTATGAGCTCATTGTCTACTATACTCTGAGGGGGTAACTACAATTATAAAGTTTTTGTACATATTTGCACTCTGGCATAAAAGGAAAAAAAACACACACAAATGACACATCCGACACATTTGTCCAGCTTAGAACCAGAAATGATTTTTCAGCTCCCTTTGTTCTGTGGATTTGTTTACCCCATAGGCCACCATCAGGCTGCAGCCGAAATGAGACTATATATACATATATAAATAATATATTTTTTCTTTTATATGAGTCTATATACATATATAGATAATTTATGTGACTGTAGCATGCACTTATTTTCAGAAGTTGTAGTATATTGCCCCTAGTAAAAAATAAATTACCAAAGGTAAATTAAAACTCATAAATTTAAAAGAATAACAAAATAGGTGGCATACAATGTAGCAAATTAAACAATTATTCAGTAATCAGTAGTGTGGGTCAAAAACGCCCAGATTAGAAAAACACATCTATATTCCCTCTCCGATTTTATTTAAAAAATATTAATACCTCATAAGCTCAATCAAATTTTGTTTGCTTTTAATTTGTTTGGTTAGGTCGATTTATTATTACTATGATTATTATTTTAGTGTTATGTAAATGTAATGCTGCAATAGCTTTTGCTGCTAAATCCATGGTATTTACTTATACCATAGTACTTTCAGGCTAGGGTGTCTGGGGGAGGGGGGGCAAATTACAGACAACACATGCTGCTGACAGTGACAGGATAGCATGAAAGGGGCACCTGAAAACACCACGGGGGAGGGGGGGGGGTAGAAATGGGTGTTTGGGGATGTAAACAGGGAACCAGAGATGGGAATAGCGGTTCCTGACTGTATGTTTTATTTCAATCAACTTTCTGCATGCAATAGAATTTCAAAAACACACCATTTATTCTATTCTACCCACACCACAGAGATGAGTCACACACGGGGACGCTTGTGCACACGCACACACTGACGCACACTAGTGTGCGCGTGACTACGACGAGAACTTGACACAATGTGGAGAACTAGTAAGGTAATCCAGTGAACCTATAAAATTTGGCTGACTACCATCGGGGTGTTTGCTGGACTCCTCTAGTACAGAGATTATCATTACCGGAGAGCAGCCTCAATAATTTATGAATCTATTAGATGTAGGATATCCTTAAAAAAAAAAATCTGATAGGTGAAGTACTTTTGCAGTGATTGTTCATATATAATTGTGCAATTTTATACAGTATATAGTTAGGTCTGAGTATGCCTAGAACTGTGATTCGCTTTAACTGTTGTTGATGTATGACATAGAAGTCCTGTGAAACTTCATAACCAGTGTACTCACATCGGGGACACACACAGACACTCAAGCAAGCACACATGCATAAACACACTCTCACTCGGTAAAAAGAAAATGAGCTCGAGTCTGAGAAACACGAATCAGCTGTCTGTACCATTGACATCGCTTAAGATTTTGTCTACGAAGACCAAAGAGCTCATGTGATAATACTTAAACCACCAACACACTACCGTGACGAAAGCTTGTCTGGTCTGTCAGGCCTCATGCTTACTGGTCTGTTAGACCCCATGCTATCTGATGAGCTAGGCACATTTTTTTATTTTTTATTTTTTTTTTAAGAAATCATTGGAGGAAAGACCATTGATGATGATGATGATGATGATGATGACAGCAATGATGAATATAAGAGAAAAAAAATTAATATATATGCTTAAGAACTGTCTGGAGCAGAGTTGTGATCTTTACTCTGTTTCCTTGCTAACCAGCACATAATGTTCGCACAACTTGACTTTGAGAACATTGGGATCCATCGTTGTCAGAACTTTGTGTGTATGCTGGTTTCAACCCTGATTTTCCTGCAAAGCTTGAAGTACAATTATGACCTGCTAAAATGGTGGACCCCTCCCACCTCCCCCCCCCACCAACCCTTTTCTTTGAGAAGGTTGGGGTACATGACAACGGGGTGGGTTATTGGGAGTGCAGGGTATTAGAAAGAAGAAACACATTGGCTGCTGAACCTAGGTTGTTTAGGACAAGACGGGAAGATTGGGTTAGGGTTAGGGACCCTCTGGGGGTGGAAAGAGTTAGTTACACTGGTTTTTAGCAGTTCTGTGGACAATCCGACAGGTTGCTACAACTCCGCAGTTAGATGTACGCGTCGTATCCTTTTTCTGTGTGTCGTGATTGTCCAGTCCAGTGCTCGTCCCTTCTTTATTTTTATTTTTTATTCCTTTGTTGCAAGTGTTTGGTTGAACTACTTCGTTTTTGCAAAAAAATTAAACGGGGTTTCTGTTCTGGTTTAGAGAAAAGAAACCGTAAAGGCTAATAATGATTAGTGTCCCTCTGAAAGTGAATTCTGGGCCTTTTTTCTCTCTCAGCCCAGGAATTTTCTGTTTGTTCAATCTCCGTAAAAGACACTTGTCGTGCACTTCTCTTTGTATCCAAACAGTTTTCAGCAGTCAGCTATTTTTTGTGTTTTGTTTTTTTTATTTTTATTTTTAAAAGCGTGCTTTCTGACTGACATGATCTTTTGCAATACCTCAATTTTGAAATATAGGAGAGAAATTGATATTTTCTAAGTAAGTTTATTCAGATAAATATATATATATATATATATTAATTTAATTCAGTGAGAAAATGATTTAACAGATGGTTAATTTTATTTTTGTCATGCTTATTTGCTTTTTATTTTTTATTTTTGGAAAAACTGAAGGAGTTAGAGCTTTATAACTTTAATATAAAATTGTAGTTAGCCGAAGTACAGAGTCTACCTTATTACAGAGGAATGCGATTTGCAGAAAGAAATTCCCTTCCTGTCTCCCTTCTGTGACATCAGAGATCCATTAAAAAGGACAGAATGAGAAGTGAACGAGAGAGAGATTTTCCCCCCAATGTATCGTTAGTGACATCTTGGAGCTCTGAAGAAAATACTGAGTTCCAAGGAAAAAAAGAACTTTTTCATGAAAGTAAAAATCTCCATTTGGTGCTGAGAAAGATAATTGAAGATACTTCCCTTGTTTTGTATATTTATAACTGATCATTTATTATGCCGACTAGAATTGTGAAAGATATCTTCTGTTCGTTATTTTTTTAAGAGAACTTTGTTTCCTAAAAGTGTGTCCTCCCTTTTGTTTTGTAAAACAATGTACCCTTATTTGTTGACTTGATGTTTTGAGGGTCCTTAAAAAGAAGGTGGGGAAGAAAAGAATGTTATTTTAAAAACTGATATACAAAGTGTTTCAGCTGTAACTTGATCGAAAGCCCCAAGATGTATGAGGTCAGGTGTGGCCTTTACTCACTGAAGACTTGAATTAGTCCCATTTTTTTCTTTTCTTTCTTGTTTTTAAGGCTAACAAACCTTGATTCTTTGTTGTAATGTGCAATACTGTTTGTACTGTTTGTAAAAAAGAAAAAACAAGAAAAAGAGGCATAAATCTTTATTGCAAATTTATTTTCATTGCAAGCATTGTGATTCACTAAGATCATTTTCTACTGTGTATTTACCTACTCTACGTGCTTAGTACCTTCCAGTAGTAATGTAGCCTTTGTACTGAGAAATTTTTCATTATTTTTAGAGATTTTTGCTAAAAAAGAAAATGATTAAAACATATTTACATATTTTTCATTTTTATTTCGTATTTTCTTTACACACTTATTTCTCAACCATTAATATAGTTATTTCTGGGGGAGACTTTCATATCTGGTCAATGTCATTAATATTATTTTGTATTTTTACTTGGAATAAATTAATTTTATGATGCTAATTCTTTAAAGGTTTATTTTCGTTGTTCATTTTATTTTATTTTTTTGAAGCGGAAAACCTTTGTAATATTACTAAAGTGTCTAGATTTTTGAAATGCAAAGCTTTATGTATTAACTCGCTGATGTGGTTTACATTAGTGTGGCTATGATCAAAAAGACAAAAAAAAAATAATGAATGGCTGGTCATGTAAAGCTATTGGCGATGTAACAAACGATTGGGCAATAAAAGGATGATAGAAAGGAGAAAACACTCAGTATGGTGTGATATTGTGGAAGCAAGACATCGCGTACTACTGCATCTGCTGGAGAAAATAACATTAGCTAGCCACTGGGGATGTCACAATAATTCTCAGGAAACATTTGGCCCAAATAGCAAATTTCAATATTTTTGCATTTACTTGTTGAGGCTGTAGACCTGGACGGATACCCACTGGACACAAAAATGTCAGTTTGCATCTGTGTGATTGTATTTAAGTATGAATGTATTTTTAAGATTTGAATAATTTGGTAGAGGGGAAACATTTGTCTGCTAGTATTTTCTTATTGAAGAAGAGTTCCCTCCATTTTAACTATACCGACTCCCACCAAATCTTCCGTGATCCAAAGGATAGGCTGTTCTTGGGGCAAAGTGTCCTGAAAGCTCTTGCACGTTTTGCTAGTATCCAGTCACTCACAAGTTTGCGGTCTAAACACTCGTCCAGGGGGGTGGGGGGCGGTGTATGCTGTTATGAAGTGTTGTGACATCCCCAAAATATGCACGTCATGAAAAGGAAACCCACAGATCTGAGAGTGTAATTTTCTTGCTTGCCTTTTCCTACGAATTTGTACAGGTGGTCATTCAGTTAATTTATTACTAACCTGACAGTTCCCCTGTTGCTAGGCCAGTGTTGGACTCCTACCACTAAGTGTTTGAGTTTTTACAAAGCAAGTTTTTTACCCTGTCAAAACGCTATCTTAAACCTAAAGGATAACTCTTATGGTCAGATGAATAGCCAAGTGTTGCTGACGGTGACCATTTTCATCAAGTCCTCTTTATAATAAACATGTCATGTCACCATAGATTTGGATAGTGTTTATTCACCCATGCTGCGTAGACATTGTATCTGGGTGCACCTTTGCATCATGTTGAATCTCTGGAATATGATTAAAAAAATAACAAAACCAACAAAACAAACAAAAAAAAAAAAGCTACTCACTAGTTGTTTTCTTAGACTAACCACTACTTTTAAATGTACTTTTTAAGAAAAAGGGTTTTTTAAATTTATTTTGGGTTTGATTGCTGGTTATCATGAAGACTGAAATTTGCTGAATGGGATCTATGCTTGTCTGACGCTGCAGTACAACTGTGATTAAAACATGGAGCTCAATGCTGCTATTGCTTAAAACTGCTTCAAGTTTGTAGTTCAGACTCTCCCTCGCCCCTTTTCTGTACTAATAAGCATCTCTTATTAAACATAGTTGTATGATGCTGTGATACTTGTCGTCTTTTGCATGGTCTCCAGTTCCTCTCAGCTATTAGCTTTTTAATTTGAAGTTTAACCTTTTGTTTTTTTGTATCTGGGTAACACACTTTCCTATTGTATCATTTCTTAGGTGAGGGCAGAGTGCTGACATTTTAGATAATGTATGCATTTACACAAGACTGAATTTAAAATACATCTGCTGTAGCAGTTTGAAGAACAAGAGATTCTAGAAGTGAGTCCATTTCTTTGCATTGCATTGATGTCCTTTCTGAAAATGCTGCTACTAATCGGCTTCTTTCAGCAGTTGCTCAAAATTTTAACCCGTGCAACTGCTCATCAGTTGTTCTGTCCCTTTGGCATGGATCATAAGTCCCTCCTCTCCTCTGTAGCCTTCCTCTCACACACACAGGACACCCTTGTCTCTGCAGTAGAACAGTAGAAGTGTTGTTGTGGGTTTTTGGTTAGCTAATGCATTTCTTCAGAGGTGGTTGGGGGGGGGGGGGTGTGCTTTAGAACATTGCCAGAAATCATTTAGCGTTTATAGCGCTAAGAGCAAGCCAAAAGCTGAGGCAGCAGCTCTTAAAATCTGCTTTGGGACCACCAGCTACTGCAGCAAGTCTACACATTGCATCATCGACAAGGGCATCAACCACAGCAAATGTGGTGCAATCGCATGTCCTGAACTTTACATTCCCCTTCCCCCACTGCCACTGCCTTGTATTACTTTTAAAGCCTAAAAAAAACAATGAGTTGGTAGGATGACCTCACACTGAAAACAAAACCCTCTACAGGGAACATCAATATGGACTATAACTTAAGTACTCTTTTGTGCCTTTTGCCAAAAAAAAAAGCAGTGAGAACTTAAAATCCTGGAGCACCTTAGCTTCATTCGATCTCCTGCACATACTGTGATGGCAATCTGACTTTGGACAGTGTAACAAAAGCCCACTATCTTAAATTACTTACCTCTCTGTATCAAAATGTGCCATATTTTCGTATGAAAGACATCTCGAAGAACAGCAAAGGTGCATGCAGATATCTTTCCCAGTCATTTGTGTCTGACAGATCTTGCCAAGGTTGATCGACACAGTGCGGGAGGGGGAGGGGGGAATCACAATATGCCATCTGCTGGTGAGAACCATAAAAAACCCCCCACTCACGAAAGCTCTTAAGAATTTATTAATTCTATCAGCCTAAACAAAGAGCAAGTACATAAATATTTACAATTCCACGTTTTGTTTTTTTTTTTTTTGTTTTTTTTTTTTAAAAAGATCCTCTCTATAGGCTGTGGAGCAGTGATTTTCCAACCCTAAGTACTTGCGTACCTGTATGAACTGCAGTGTTAAAGCGGACATTTAGAGGAACAATACCATGATTGGCTGATAGATGGGGAGGATACTGGCTAGAACTCACTCACTAGGTATTAAAAAGCAATTCACAGACCGTTTTGAAGGTGATAAGAGAGAAGATTCTGTGCTTAAGGAAAAAATTGGAGGCAAAAGAGCACCCCCTGGAGGTTTGCTGTGCAAAAACAAAAATGTGGGGGGGGTGGAGGGTAGGGATATTCAGTCCAAAACTGCATGTACTGCATAAGACAATGTCACTAGTACATGTACCGCTCATAGCTCTATGGTGGCATAATGCGCTCACGTGGCCCGAGGCGTCTATAGGAGACTTCTGCTCAAAACAGACCTGTGTAGTTGTTCATCCAAATCTTCACTTCCTTGTGCATATCAGAATGAGAAGAAAATGAATGGTTTAAGACTGAGCTTAAAAAGAACTTTGTGACTGGAACGTGCGGTACACTTTCACAAGCAATCGTGGCGTGGTGTTAGAGAAACAGCACGGGAAGCCGTCCGGGTCACATTGCAGGGTGGGGTAGGGTGGGTTTGACTGAAGAGGATTTAAGCTTTTCATAAAGGAGTCACTGCTTTGGCAGGTCATTGAAGAGAATGCATGAAATTGTCCAGGTCATATTCTGCATCATACTGCTGCTGGTCCCAGAGATCTCCCAGGCTGTCCAGAACAGACTTCATGGAGGCCTTTCCTGAAGAAGAAGCGGCAGATGCCTCCCCTTTCTCCAACTTTTCATCCTGGGTGAAGACACACATACACACAAAAGCCATGAGCAAAATTTCCAAAAACCAGATACATGGTTGCACTTTAGTGAATGCATGCACGACTGCAGGGCTCTGGAATCGTAGGCAGCAACAACTCCAAGTCAGTAAGAGAGAACCCTGAATGAAAGTGACAGAAAACGGAAGTGAGACTGCCATTAAGGCCTGCAGGCTGACCTTGTCCAGGGTAAAAAGGTTGAGCAATTGCTCTGTGCCCATGCTCTGAAGACTGGCGTTTTCCTGGCTGATGACCGTGTTGGCGATGCTCATCTTGAACTTCTGCAGACCCATAATCTTCTCCTCCAATGTGCCCCGGGTAATGAGGCGGTACACGTTCACTACACGTTTCTAAGTTTAAGAGACAAGCTTGTTACTGCTCTGAATACCCACAATGCCAGTGAAATTACTAAGAAATCAGGGTTTAACTTTTGGCCACACACTGAAAATACAGCTCCCAAGTGACAGGCCCCAACAGAAAAATGCAGATGTATAAATTAGTTTCTCCCAAAATATTGCGATTTGAGCGTGACCCTTCCACTGGCAGATACCTGTCCTATCCTGTGGGCACGATCCATAGCCTGAAGATCCCTCATCGGGTTCCAGTCATGTTCCACGAAGACCACCGTGTCGGCCCCTGTGAGGTTAAGACCCAGTCCACCTACATGGGTGGTTAGCAGAAGAACATCTATGGACGGGTCATTGTTGAACCTATGGCGGGGGAAGGTAAACCACTGTTAAAATTCAGCGGGGGAAGAAAAAAAAAAAAAAAAGATCGAAGAAACCCCACTACGGGGGTATCAATTGCGTAATATCAGAGCCCTTTTATGGCCCCCAAAATTCCAAGTCCCCATAAAGTGCTCCCCCCACCTGGAGACTATGGAATGGCGCAAGCCAGCTTGCACGCTGCCATCCAGGCGTAGGTAGGTGACGGAAGGAAGCTGGGGCTTTAGCAGGTCGTGCTCCACAATATCCAACATACTCTTCAGCTGGCAGAAGATCAGCACACGGTGCTGGGCCACCACCGCCTCAGTGGCCACGTCGGAGGAGCCTGTACTTCCTAGGCCACAATCCAGGAGCAGCTGCAAAACCAAGGATGACGCGAGAGGGTTACAGGATGACACCGTCAGTTAGCGGGGAGGTGGGGAGCAGGGTCAGGCTAACCTGTTTGAGTGCTGAGAGTTTGGGGGCGTGCTGGATGTCCCGCAAGCTGGAGTGCTGGGCCGCGAGCTGCTCAGTGATGCGCTTATACTCAGGGTGCATAGGAGTCAGAACCAGGGCGGGGTGATTGCAGAGCTTCCTCAGGTACTGCAGAGCCTGCAAGGGCAATGCCTAGCAGTCAGTCATTGCACAGCACTGCGGCTCCCAGGCAGCTATAACCGTCCAAAACAAACCTTGGCCTTAAACAAATAAGCTCTCAGAAGTTAGAGAATTTGGAACTTAAAGGAAACACACAAAACTAAATTTTTTTTTTTTTAGATCCTTCAATATGGTTCTCCTCCTAAAACGGTATCAAAAGGTGCAAATTATATTGTGAGAACCTATGGCCTTAGAAAAATTAGCTTTTTTCCGTATCTGATGCTTTTTCTTATTAACGCTTTTATTAAAAATGACACATGGTAGGGATTGGAGAAATGAGCCCTCAGAACCTCGCAGTAGGTGGCCAGTCACCAGCTGGGTTCTCTCAGTCCTCGCTGCCAGTGATTGGCAGCTTTGTGTAATTCCACACCTCCACCGTGATGGGCCAGGGCAGAAAAACCAGACACTTGCAACAAAGTATATTATAGTATATTATAACCACAAGACCTATAGAAATACACCATATCTGATGTTGGAACTAAAACATTTATTTAAAGGGGTTTACTCTAACCTGTCACAATATTTTTTGTGTTCTGCACTATTATGCCTTAGGTAGTAATTCAAGATAAACTAGTTAATTACCATGAAGCAACTTAAGTGTTTTTCTTTATTTTATTTTTTGCCACAAGGCTGACATCTTTGTTGATTTTTTGGAGGTGCCTATTTTAGCATTGGTTTGATGAATTCTTGGATTAATAAAAGCCAGGAGAGATTAATTATACTGATAATTGATTTTTCTAATTGAAAAACTGATTTTAATTTGTAATTTACTTAAATACTTTGGATATTGCCTAGTAATTTACTCCCATTTTGTAGCAATTCATCTTTAATACAAGCCAGTGAGTTCACCATCAAACTATCGATTAGACTGATACACATACAAGGAATACTATTAAAATGCATAATAAAACTGTTAACCATCATTCCTCCCCAAAGCATTTGCAAGAACAAACTGAACTTTTCAAAGTACATTCAGTCTATCATAATAAACAGGAAAGCTGTACATATACACAAACATTTAGACCAGAAACCTGGAAATCTAGGATTAGGGATCTGTAAGTGAAATCACTAACCTGGAACACGTGGCCGGTCGCCTTTAGCTTAGGTGTGTCTTCTTCCTCTGGCACGATGGCTGTTGAGATAGTGTCTTCCACATTTACCTTTGCCCGAGATTTGGCAAAATCCTCATACAGTTGCACCTGTGAGGCAAGGGAGGTGGAGGGAGTTATCTAAGCAGTAGTGACCAGTACTTTCTGTGATATAGACCAAAACCATATTTAAGTCCCCCATTTCAGCCAGGCTCCATTTCAGAGAAAGACAGCTTCTCCACTAAAATCCAACTGACACATGAACAAACATTACAAACAGGACATGAGACGGGTGCATGGCTTAAAACGACTACAAACGGGAATTAAGTTATTAAAAAGCTGCATTTACATGAGGACTCAATGAATTCTTAAGTGAACCCAAGTACAAAACAAAAACATCGCAACAAATCACAGCAGCATACAAACTCCCGTCATATTCTTTGAATAATCGAACATTGACTTGAGTTTTCTTGGACGCGCTGCCAGGTAACACCGAGCAGGGGTCAAAATGCAGCTGGATAAAACTATTTCAAACCACGATAGCATTATGACCTCTGTCACAGCTGTTACTGCTGGCTAATGAACGATAAGCAAATTAGTGTTTGGCGTTTTTTCCGCAAAGGAACTTACCTGAAAATGAAACGCTCCTGCCAGTCAAGATTAAAAAATGGAAATAGGGTTTAACCCAGGGGGCATTGTTCCAGTATGCCAAATAAAAGGTAGAAATATCGACTCTAAAGGCTGCCAGATTAAAAAGTGAAGAGAGAATACTGCAGTTGGGGTTGGCAAAACAAAGGGGCAAGATCCAAATCTCCAGGGCCAGACATTTCCTCACCCTGTTGGCAAAATCTGGATGAGCGCCAGACAGCACGTGACTCCAGGGAAAAGGGGGATACTTATTTATTTGTATCACACTTATGGCGACATTAATAACCGTGCCGTGGGGTGAGGGAGCCTCCAGCGGTTTCCCGCACACACAAGGGGCAGCCGGTTACGATCGGCTGGGCATTCACTCACACTCTGTTACTACCTAGGCAGGGAGCCTTCTGTAGCCATAGAAACTGATATGAGCTTTGGGGAACGGGGAACCGTGAATTTTTTTAAAAACCAATAAAGCTAGAATGTTAGATTGAGGAGCGGGGGGGGGGGTTGAAAATAAAAAGGCTTAGCACTGTTTCACAAAGTGTGATCCATGGTCACAAACTCCCCGCAGGGCATAAAATGGAAAACTGAACTTCAGCAATTAACACAGAATGTTATTTCTGACACTCCTCCTTCTAGGATGGAAGGATGCTAGGCGGGAAATGCTTACTCCCGGGTAGTAAATCCAAATATTTCAATATGCCTCACAATGGACTAAGAGTGGCTGGAACATAAGTCTTAACGCTGGACGACACCATTCATTATTCTGACATTTGTGCTCTTCGGTTCGGTGAAGCTGCTGAGGAGCTAAAGCATGGAACTGGGCCTGCAGCAATGCTGTGGAGCGGCGGAAAAGCAGACGGCACCACAAACTCGGGCTCAAAATAAATTACGCCAATCAAAGGAGGGTATTTAACGACCAGCCCATGTCAGTTTCATTCCTTACAATGTACCATCATGAAACTACAGCATGGTGAATCAAAGTGAAATGAATGCTGAAATGAAGAACTTCGGGCTGTAAGAAAAAATAATTAAAGTGTTATTTTAGCCTATCTAACCCTGACGGAAGGGGAGAAGCTCCAGAAGCAATATGCTTATTAGGGCTCTTGGCTTTATTAACACCTACATATCAACCTTCAGCACATTTATTCCCCAGTAACATCAAAAGTGCTCCAAAAAGCAATGTCACAATATCCTGATTTCAGCATACAGCAGCTGCAGTCCACGGATGCGTTGCCAAGTATTAATATATGTGATATTAAATTACCAGACGGGAGGACTTACCTCCAAGTTCTCAGCAGAATAACTCAACATTGTTCATAAGTATTAGCTTAATCAGCTTTACATAAATTCTTTGTGTATTATTAATTACTTGGAGTTATGTGATTTTCATACACCTTTCTGTCATATTATGTTAAGTGGTTTAAGACCGTTTTGTAGCTTAAACATTCTAAGTCGGTTTTATTGCCAGGGCTAATGTTTTGCTATTTCTCTATTATTTTCTTAGGTAACTAGAAAAAGGTAACGTTGTGCTTGGGGCCACAGAATGGTCCCACTGTTTTTCCAGTCCTGTGTATTGTTTTAAGAGTAAAATGAGAAGAAACTATACGATATACCTGCAAATTCCAACCTGGAGAAAAAATTAGCACTTCATTTGATTAAAAACTAAAATAAATCCTTAATCAGAAGAAGTGGGATGAACCATCTGGAGATAATATCCTCACCAATTACGGCAGCTGACAAGCCCAAAGAGGCTCCCTGTTCACTTGCCCTACCTACGTCCTCTTGCTTTGACAAATTACCCAGCCAAGTCTAAAGGTATTAGTGTGAGGGGGAGTAACTACCCACCAAAGCTGGACATGCATCAAAATATGGGTTTAAAAATGGAGGATTTCCTGGAGGATTATCCTGGCGATTTCCGCAAAGCAAATCAATTATCTTCAAAACACGGTACAAGCATCCATAAAAAACGATAAGCCAAAACATAATGACCACCACCAGGATGTGAATAACACGGACTATCCTGTTCAAAACAGTGCATGTCAATGTCTGAGACATTGATCCTGATCCTGGAGTGCTGGTACACAGCAGGTTTTCCTTCCTACCTGGCAGATAATAACTCATCAGGTAGGATAGAAAACCAGCAGGATAGCGGCACTCCAGGATCAGGGTTGCCTACCCCTGTCGTAGATGAGCCTAAATTCAATACTTAGTCGACGTGCTGAATGCAAAAGAAATGAGCAGGAGTGAAAACCTGAGTGACTTTGTCTCACTGGTCTGGCTATAACTCTTTGGCCCTTATCAGAGCATCTCCGGAACGGCAGAGCTTGTGGGCTGAACAACACGGTCGGCTGTGGGTAGTAGTGGGGGTTGTGCGAGTTTGGGTTGGGGGGGGGGGTACTTTTGACTTGAGATGGGCCGCTCCACATTTTTTCAGTTCTGATCCGATTCCGATACGCAACTGCTGATACAATACCTATTCAGATACAATAGCTTTTTACTTTAATATTTCAATATAATATATAAAATATATTTATACTTTATGTATTAATATGTTAAAACTAGTAAATATATGAAAACATGTATGCCAAAACATCTTTAGTTAGGCTACTAGAAACAGATAACATACTGTTCCACTTCGTTTGTACATCTTGTTTTAAGCGTTTGAGGCATTTGCAGTTCAATTTTAATATCTTCCAAGCGAGGATTTGGCCAATGCTTAAAATGCCCCACAATTTCTCGCACTGGTAACAGCGTCACTTACACTTCGCTGCGAAAGCAGCCCTTCGTGTATCACAAGCTGTAGCGAGTGCGCGGAACAGCCCAAGCTAGTGACATCCATTGCTTTTTTCATATTACTTGCGTCGTCTTGCACAGTTGCGTGCGCTTTGTTTAGTGGGATTTTCCACTAAATGCTACTTCCACCCCTCAAAACTTTGTTTTTATAAAGATTGCAAATCGCTGTGCTACTACTTGTTGTTTCAAGTATAAAATACTCCCAGATTGTCACCCTCTTATCGGATGTTCTTACGCTCCTCCTACTGCATGAGTATGTGTGTGATGTCACAGCAGGCAGATGTCACTGCGCTCACACCCACGGAGTAACAAAAAAAAAAAAAACTCAGTGGCAGTGTGAGTGTTCAGCTTGAATGCCACAAAAAACACATCCAAAAAGGCAAAGAGCTGACGCGCGATTGATTGTACAAATAGATTTAACACAAAATAGTAGCTATCTTTTTAGAGACTTTTTAAAACTGAATGAGTATCGGACGTGGATAGGTCATGCATAGCCGATACCCGATCCGTCAAATAGGTCTGGATCGGCGCCGATACCGATCTGAATACTGGATCGATGCATCTCTACTTTTGACAATGTAGGTTATATTTAATTTATAAACAGTGATTTAAGCTGCCATCGACAGTGATGAAACACTGTATTGACCTTTCAAGTTGGCCGAATACAGATATCTGAATTTTAAAAAAAAGGCAGCAGTAAGAGCAACACGTATTGTAACTCATGTTTTTCAACCCTCTGTGTAGTGCTGATTAGACTCAATATGTTTAATAAAGTCCTGCCAGCATCCTGAGCCACAATCAGGTCTTCACCAAGCTGAATGCGGCCAAGCAGAGGCCCTCTGCTCACAGTAGGAACTGAAGTGCTTTGCTACTTAGGAGAACAAGTGGTAACTCTGAGGTGATGGCAGTGGGAGCGGTTTCACATTTTATCCCCTTTTGTTTGCCTCTAAAATTTCCCTTGCAAAGAGCAGGGGGAAAGGGGAACAAAGAAAACAAAAATACAACGTGACGTCTGTTGTGACGCAAGTTCAGTTTCGAGATTCAACTCAATTTACTTTCTTGCATTATATGACTTTTACAAGTGATTAACCTATACAGTTAGATTAGACTTTGATGTATTAGATGTAGTTAAAGCTATCTGCCCTTAAATAAGTACTACTACAAATAAACCCAGCTAACAAAATACTGGACGTTTATTAAATGCCACTTATGGAAAACATAAATCCAAAAAATGTATATGCAACGAACATGAAGATTGACAAAATACAAATTAAAAGATCAATATGGTTTTCTAAAAACATTTGTTTTTTTGAATTTGGGTAGTTGTTACAAAAGCATTTGTGCAATAATTTTCATTTAGTGAAACACCTGAGGATGGAGATGGTTTATGACAGTGTTTCCCAACCCAGTTCTCAGGGCCCCCCCAGACAGTCCACATTTTTGCTCCCTTCCTGCTCCCAGAAGCAAAAACGTGGACTGTCTGGCAGGGGGCAAAAACGTGGACTGTCTGGCAGGGAGCAAAAACGTGGACTGTCTGGGGGTCCCCGAGAAATGGGTTGGGAAACACTGGTTTATGGGACAGTTAAGACACTTGCATCTAACGTTAGTTATCTCACATACATTTCCATTCCTTAATACCCACCACCGCCGAGCAGTACTGACACTTACCTGCAGGGGGCTGAGATTGCAGTAGTAATCCTGGATGATTTTAGGTGGCAGATCCTGAAGCACATCTTCCTTCATCCTCCTCAGAAGAAAGGGAAGAACTTGCCGATGTAGTGCTTCCATGGCAAGCACACCTGGAAGGACCAACCACTCAGGTCAGGAAAACTCACTGTGGATGAAACTGCTGTTGCCTTTCCCCAAGTCAGAGACTACAGTCACAAGGAAGATCTAAAGGCAACAAGCATGTTGACCAAACACTTAACTCAGACCCCTTACCCGCCTCTTGCTCCCGGGACGAACTCTTGGCATCACGACTGGCAAGGATGGGCTTCCCATAGCGGGCAGCAAACTGGCGCTCAGTGCCCAGGAAGCCGGGCATGAGGAAGTCGAAGAGAGACCATAGCTCCAGCACATTGTTCTAAGACCACAAAGCCATACCACTCATTAATGGATACAGTTTAGCAATATACAACTAGCAGCAAATGATTAGCTTACCAATGGTTTATACCTAACAACTATCTTTTAAACACTATCAGCCAACCCGCCCGATAAGATTTTCTTAAAGAGTAAGCAGCAAAAACACACTCATGCATGGAAATACCACCAAACATCACTACATCCTACAGCGTACATTCGGAAATTAGGGGAGCAGACTTATACTCACGATCTCAGTAGAGCCCCCCCCACAATGTTTTTGGTTCCCCAAAACACAACTTAATGTTTGAGCCCCCAATTTCTCCAAGCCGAACCTGAATGGGCGTGCCGGAGAGGATGACCCGGAAGTTGGCAGACAGCTGCTTGATTGCCTTGGACAGCTTCGTCTTCCCATTCTTTATCACGTGGCCTTCGTCCAGTATACAATAGTTGAATTTAATATTCCTGCAATGTCAAAATGACGAAGGTGAGCACCAGCAAACAGCTTATAACGACACACGCAAAGTGCAAAAATAGAAAAATCTGTAAAACAGCTTGAAGTCATGAGCCGGGAGGCTCCTGCGTGGAGCCATGCTTAGAAGCAGCCGGAGCAAAGTCACTGCTTGGCCTGGACCGCAGCAAAAACAGGCACTCTGTGAATCGGGCCTATTGTAGGGCTGCCAGACGCTCTGGCCCAGTAAAAATGAAGTGGTGTTCAGGTGTCAGAAATGTATAAAGTTCATAGCAGCTGTGTTAGCTATTGCTAAATGCAATGGAATCTCAATACAAGGCAAAGGAATTAGCAGACTGAATAGATTTGGGGGGTTTAGCTATAGCCTTGACAACACTAATATATGGAAGTCATGTACATGGCAAACAAGACTCCACAAATTTAGCACATCAGCTGGGTTATAAAAATCCAAGTTGAATGCTAATACCTTCGCTAAAGTAGAACCGTCATCCATGAACAATATAAGGACTTCTATTAGACAACAAAATTTACAAATGAAAGTGTTAATAGGAGTAAATAACAGTTAATGGTGAACTAAACTTTTGCGTAGAATCCATGTCATAGGTCTGGCGTAGCCACGTATTCTATGCTGTAGCCTAACATGCACCTCCCCGGAAATTTAATCACACATCGCGGTGATGCAGACGGCGAGAACCGCGACTGGTCTGCATTTCCTCCTACACAAGTTTTTTGGTGTTGGTTTCCAGCTGGGGGGATTTTGGTGTGGGACTATTAGTGTTTGGCTAGTTGCTAGGCTGCCGTTTTTGCCACGGTCGTAGCCATTCAGTTATTTAAAAAAAATAAAAACTGTTGCAGCCGTTCAGGATAGGGCTGCACGTTATTGGGGAATTTCAGATATCGTGATGTGATTTCTTTGTGATAAATACTGAGATACTTATGAAGCAAAAAAGGGAGAGCAAAATTCTCACAAACCCATTTATGAGTAACAATCAGCGAGGCTGAAAATGATTATGATTGGCTGGGCAAAGCGCATGCAGACCTCATGCAAAAGCAGCCCCGGTAAACTTTGAACTGATTTTTCAACGTATGCTAGATAATCTTGAAAAGAAACAACTATTAAAAATGCAAAAGCATGCCAAGTTTGATTTTCTATGAGACGGCGTTCAGCCACCTAGCATTTTGGTAATGTTATTGCAGAGCAACACCAGCGCAGAAATACAAATGCCCCCGAAGGTGTAGACTATGGCATAAGCTCTGCGCAGATGTATAAATCAACCTTTATACGCATGCAGGCATTTCCGCCTGGTTTAAAGCCGATACTGTGACAGTAACCCAAGGAAATGTAGGACACTGTTCCTGTCTTATTCTCTGCTGTGGTTCTGTACACGGTGCCTTGATTAACGTACTGCTATGCCTGGATACACAGTCAGCTGATGTGAAGACTGCCGTACAGGAACCAAGACAAAATATACTTTTTGACAGAAATAAAGAAGTACCTAAAAAAGTCAATATCGTTGCGTACAACGTCATACGAAGCCACGATGAGGTTGTGCTTTTTCACCTGATGCTGTAACCTGGAGAGAAGAGGGAGTAGAATTCAGTCAACACTGCATGAGCAGGTCACAGTCACAGCCAGCAATTTGGGTGCGGGCAGGAAGAGCAACGCTTACCGCATGCGCTCTGTGGGAGGTCCGGTGTAATGCAGGGGGTTCAGATACTCTTTGGAGCAGAACTTGCTCACCTCGTCCACCCAATGGCCAGTCAGCGTGGGAGGACATACCACAAGGGAGGGCAGGGGGCAGCAGTCCGCAGCCTTGCTTTTGGAAAACTCCTGAGACCTGTCACCGAGGCCAGAAAGCGAAACACTAATAACTCACCGGACTTGTTTGTTCATCCCCCAAACGGGCCACGAGGCCCAGGGACGGAGTACCTGAGGAAGTGGTCCCCTGCCATGATGCAGATGGACTGCAGTGTTTTCCCCAATCCCATGTCATCACACAGGATGCCGTGCAACTTGTACTTGTTCAGGAACGAAAGCCAGTTGACTCCATCCTAGAGAAACGAGCTGCAATTATCAAAGCTGCTCCATTTGAGTGAAATGCAGTGCTAGCAGAAAATACTTAAGTGACATCCTATTTTACCAAAACCTCAGAAACTTGAACCTAATAAAATATTTATGGGTCGGCATGCTGATTACTAAACTGTAATATTGCAAAATATTTTGGCTCGATATTTTTTTCCATATCATCAGATATTTAACAATATGTAATGTTAATATCACATGCGCATGCAACTGTCACACTGTTAGTACTGCGATAGTTGTGTTGAGATTAGGCTTGGGTGGCAACTAATTTTTTTGGGTAATTTGAGAGGATAAAAGCAATGCTATTCCAGAATTTTGAAATCCTAGCAATGAAATTTGTCCAGGTGTGCACAGAGGGGCAAAATCCGTCAGTACTTCCTAGCAATAACGTCTGTTTGGCAATATATATTATTTTGGGTAAATTTTCAGCTTTATAAAATTACATTTTTGAAAATCTCCACAATATTGTACTAATTATAATAATTCGGGTAAAGTAAAATCTAATTTTAATAGATAAATCACAAAAAAATCTGTTCTGTCATGGGCACAACTCTAGAAACTTGTTGCTGGGTTTTTTCTCTGACAGCCTCGCTACTTGTTTCAGGAATCGGGTTTGACATTGTAAGTAATGTCGCCACCCATCCTGTATTTTATGGGATTTTACAGGAACCAATACAAGGCATCATATGTCCCCTGTCTTGTGATTTGCTGCCCCACTCGGCAGATTATCGCTGGGGACTCGAGAGGAGGGTGGCTCCCCGTATTTCTTCAGATTGAAAGCGGAAACCCTAATTGCTGGTGTCTGACTGAAAATGCTTGTTCTACTGGATCACATTGCTTCAGGTGGTGAAAAAAAACAAAAAAAAAATGTTGCCGCATTTCTGGTTTTAGCTGGCGCAAGTTTACGCAGAGCTGATAAGCCACAGCACCAGTCTGCTGCGCGTCAGACTTTAAATTGCCAGCGTACCACCCTGCCACATAAATCTTCTTGCCACGTTTAGCCACAATATCTTCCATTTAAAAATATGTTTTGGCTGCTGAGCTGACACTGTCACAGACGCTTGAAGTTTCCTCTGAGGGAGTGCTAATTTCTCCCATGACTCATGTATATTACCAAAACAGTAGTTTGCGCCTTGCTCTGCAAACTCAATCAACCCTGCTGTGCATTTGTTGGGCATAGGGTGTCCATTCTAAAAACTACCATGTGATTAGTTGGAACTGCGTTCTTCTCTATGATGAGGCTGACGTGTACTGCGAAGCAATGTTCCATATCGACAATGTATCACATTTTCTCATTTCCTTATCATTTACACTGTAGATGTATCATTTACACAGCAGTAGGGCAGGGCGATATACAATATTGGGCTCCACAGGGCCGGGAAGACCGTACACATCCCCATCAGCACACGGCCCTGCATTTCCCAATATGCCAGGCAGGTGCATATTGCAAGCATGCTGGACTCTTTGGTGGGAATCAGTGCCCACTGCTTCAGTGGTTTCAAGGACATTCTGTTACCTGCCTAGTTAATGTGGACCCTAATAAAATGTCCTGTCCTGTACTTTATGCAGATGGATGCAGTCACTATCAGTCAAGATCAAAAGGGCTTTTAATAACTATTTCTAGTCCAATAAATTTAATACTGGATATCCAGAAACTTCTAACACTTTGTTTAAACATAAAAATGGTCAGACTGGTTGGCATCCATGTTCCTGCCCAACCCAAAACGCCTATAAAAATCCACATGCTGTCCTCTTTGGCTCTACAGAGCAGGACGATATTGGCTGATTGCATCTTCAGAACCATTTAGAAAGAATGACACATTGCTTCTCTCTGCCAGTATTTAAATGACGTATGAATGTGCCTGCAAACCACTTAAAAGCTTAACTCGTTCATTCCAATACCAACCACTTTTGTTCTCTGTACATAGAATATGATTTGGAGCCAATTTGTATAACAAGGAAGTGCTGTACAAACTGCAGAATTTATATATTTTTATATATTGAATATAAATGTATACCAGGGATAGGCAACCCTGATCCTGCAGTGCTGGTATGCAGCAGGTTTTCTGATGAGTTGAGTTACTATCTGCCTGAGATCAGGTGTGGTTCGTCACAGACAAGGTAGGATCTGCTGGATACTGGCAACCCAGAATCCGCCCCAACCAATACAGCCAAAGATCAAAGGTTCATTTGATGCGTTATTACTACAAAGCAAACATGCCTAACTTAAAAATTAAGTTATAAAAATAATTAATTATAAAAAAGCATTAAGAAACACTGATGGGTAACAGGGAGTCATAGGAAGGCAACCAGCTAGAAGAACGATGTGTTCTTTGTCTTCTGAACTGGCAGTGAAATAAAGAGGGACATCCGGGTACCTGCCTGATCAAAGCCCGATAGCTGACGGCGATCAGCATGACGGACTGGAGCGCTACACCAGAAGAGGGACGCACCTGCTGGTATTTCCTCAGCTCCGCTTTGATGGGAACAGGAATCTTGTAACTCTCCAGCTTGCGCCCATCTAGAAGTTGCTCCAGGAAGTGCCTTTCCCTGGCCTTCTGCCTGATCAGGTCCTCCGACATGTTCGGGGGGTCTGGGATGCCGGCCTTGATGACACATGTACACAAATCTAGTCATGAGACCCAATGTGAGAGAGAGACCATATGACCGCGCTCATTGCATCCTGGGAAAGAAGAGACATCACACTGGTATTTAACTTTACCGACTCTTATGAAAGACTTACAAAACGAATAACCTTTGGGTTACAGTTCTCATCCTTAATTATGCCACATCGTTCTGATAAAAGCCAATGCCTAAGGAGTTTAAGGAAGGACTGATTACGCAGGGCTGAGAACTTAAATCCTTTGAATTTTATACAGGCCAGGCAGAGAGATTCAGAATAATAACTTCAAAACTACAAAAGCTAAGGAATGTCTTAAATGTCAGAACCCTTCTCTATAATCCAGGGTGTTAACAGCATCTGGCAGCCAAGTATTATACAGGGTTCTATAACTCCTGCGAAAGGCGAAATTAAAATGATCTTTGTCCCCCCCCTTTTAAAACCAGACAGCATAAAAACAGAAGTCTGGATTTTATTAACCTCTGACGCAAAGGAGTGCCAAATTGGCAAAACATCCAGATTTTTAAGCATGCAGATACCAACACAGCTATCACTTCAGTTATTCATTTCTCATGGCTACTGCTAATCAGCCAAAAAGCATAATAATTTTAGGGTCTCATTTCAGCTTTTCATTTACCTTCCCTAATTCAGGAGAGGTTTTAAAATCAATAAATTCAAGATCCCTTGTAAGATATGAGCATACACCAACAGGATATGCACATGCTGCAGAATTCACCCAATATGAAAAGGAATAGACCAAGAGCACAAAGCTTGCGAGACACATGAAAAAGCGGTACCGCATTCATTCAACATTGATTACAGAAAAGCAGACATACTGCCCTCTGCTGGGAAATCACAAGAATGACAACCTTATTTTGATATCTGCTGCTAGACCTTCAACATATTTCTCAGTAAGAGACCCAAATTGAGTAAACGGGGAAAAAAAACAACAACAACACCCACTCCCTCCAGCCCCCTACAACACAGCGGCATACCTCCAAAGGTAGCAGGCGGATAAGCGTGGCAAAGCACTGCGTGGCCATGAAACGGACGCTGTCACTCGGGTCGCTCATGCGGCCGAGAACCGGCACCACCAGCAGCACGATGTAGGGCACGATGTCCACGTCCAGCTGCTCCATCACGCCTGGGATGTCACAGTCAAGGAACGACCTCAAAGGACCCACTGACCTACAAAAGTCTACCTGCCTTCGAGCAGAGCGTGTAGTTAAAGTGCTTCACTGAAAATGATTATTTCCGACTTGCACTGCAAGATGGAGAACTGATCGACAGAAACATTTTGTCACATTTATTATGCTCAAAATCCTCGTACGCTATCCTTACATTCGGGACACATTACGTAATGCTCTCCCCAGTCAAAGTTACCCTTGATGTGTCTGGCAGCCATTACCAACAGTTGAACAGTGTGATTACGGATAATGCCAAATTATACTCTCCTTGGAAGACTGGATACGCCTACATCTGTTATGCACCATCTGTGTCTTTGAGATACGTCTGGCATTGCCAAACAACCAGCAATCTCATGACCAACATCAAAAACCTCAAAAAGTACTCAATTTGTTCAGACTGAGAACACGGAGAGCAAGGAAGGATACAGGCCATGGCCTCCATGGCACCTTCCTGCTTGGTGGTGTCGTCTATCGCCCCCAACCATGGCAGCACCTTCTCCAGGAAGACGTTCATGGTTTCCAAGGTAGCGATCTTGCTGAGCACGCCCAAGCAGCGTGCGGCCATGTGACGGACGGCCGTGTAGGGATGCTGCAGGCAGGTGCAGAGGTGTGGCAGGTGTTCCAGTAGCTGCAGGGAATAGGGGCGTGAGGACACTTAATGCATCGCCGACATGCGGCACAGCATGCAAGGGGCCTGGAACTGAAAACATTTCATTGCGGGGGAAAGGCCTGAAGGGCAAATGACAGATCAATAACTTTCAATACTCTAAATGCAGACCAATGGAATTCAGATCCAGTAAGTTTAAATAGGTTTCCAGGGTTTGTGCCGTTTTACTGAGCTGGTTGTCATGCCAGGCAGTGCAGACAGTGTTATAGCATGGCCCTATGGAGGCTTTCCCCCACTGCATCTGACAAGCCACTGCATCTGACAAGCCACTGCATCTGACAAGCCACTGCATCTGACAAGCCACTGCATAAAGCAGGCACAACTTTCAGAATTAAAAGTCCCTCTGTATAAAGGTCTGATGCAAGGCAAACTAGTTAATCATAAGGCAGCCTGTAAATGCAAATCAAAGTTCAGTTAAAACAATAAGCAAGCTGCATGGTACCAAAACCTAAAATCTTTAAATTATTTTTGAAGGAAATCAGTTTGCTAGGCAGGTGAAGGTATTGTTACAAACCTATACATCCCAATACCAATACACATCCCAATACAGAACAGTGGGGTGTATCTTACAGGCAGAGTGACTTATTTCACATTACTTTCAAGGACATGTGATGCATTCAATTTAAAATCATATTAAATCTTTCACAAGTCCTTGCTTTCAAGAACTTTTTCAGAAACCCCATGATTACCGACCAAGTGAAACCAACGCCCATGAAATTCGGAATAAGGAAAGCAGAGGCTGAGAGGGAGCCTCTAGTCCGGTTAGGAAATTAGAAGCTGGGATGTAATATAATAGCCATGCCCTAGAGGACGGCAAAACCGGCTTAAACTGGTGAAAACTGTATTAATTATTATGCAAGAAATTACTACAGTGGACTTCCTATAATTACATATGGGGAAAACTGTATATTGCATAATCCCATAATCCATCTCAATATGTAGGAAGTAGTGCATCTCATAAAAAAAAATAAATAATCCAACTTAACACACTGACGATTCACACATTTAAATCCATAATGTATCTAGATGCATCATTTCAGTCTCAGGCACAGAAGGAGAATCTTCCCTAAACTCGTTTTCCAATTGCAGGTGTCGAAACTAAAAAATAACGGCCAGTACCCATCCAGTCCCTGACATTTGCAAATGACATTTTATATGGTTTCATTAGGTTTTTATTAGACATCTAATTTTGCCCAGCATTTACAATTTTTTAAGAACATCTTAATGCTTTTTAGACACTCAACAGGGCAGTAAGTTTTTCTAAACAAAAACAAAACCCAGTCAGACAGAACAAGATGCTTGGAAGGAAGTCTTGTACTTGTGTTTATAAAATGAACGATGTGGTTGTTTAAGCTCTCAGTCAAAGGAGGGAACAGGTGAGAAGGTCCTTATCGCTCTGGGAAGGAGGGCAGGCCCGTCGTACCCGCTTACCAGGGGGACGAGCTCGGAGGACATGGCCCCCGCTGTCACCTCCAGCACCTGCAGAGAGTTAATGAGCTCCTGGGCTGCGGCGTCTCCTTTCTCCAGCAGCAGGTTACAGTCTGTCAGGGCACAGACAGCAGGTCAGAGCAGCTCCGGCCTGGAGACTAGCAGACCCTAGAACAATCAAACACCGCAGCCTGCAAACATATGGCGCGGGTCGCTGCAGGGGGGCGGGACCGCTGGTTAAACAAACACATGCAAAAGACCATGTACACGTCGTTCGATGCGAAACGTTTTTAAAACGCCACCACAGCACAGGATACAGGACCTGAAGTTCCTTGTACTTCCACAGCTGTCATGACCGACATACAAAAGCTTGACCTGAGCACTTTCAAATTTTCAATACAACAGCAGCGATTGAAAAACCAGCTTCTTGTCTCCACAATTTCCTTCCCAGAATTAAAAAAATGTGTGTGTGTGTGTCCATCCAAAGTCCTAGTGGGACAGTCTCATACTTACACATTCAGCAAACCCCCCCCCAACATATTTCCACCACAAAATCCCAGTAACTTTGGCCAAGACAGATTTAAGCTATAATGGGTGATACAAAGGAAGACCCCATCCAATGACGTACCCAGAGAACGTTCCTGCCCGTCACAAACCCCCTTCAGGTGCCCCACCATGGCATCCCAGAGGCAGGGCAGCGTTGCTGTCATCTCGGTGCCAAAGTGCCTGGCGATGGTCATCAGGGAGAACTCGGCTCCTCTTCTCTGAATGAGACACGGCTTTTTACTCTGCAGCAAGAGACGTCGCCATTGTCATGACTTCCAGGTTACACACCAAAATTCACGAGTAAATCCCTGCTGGGTCCCTCCCTCTGCAAAGATTCTGCCAACAAGGGCTCCCGGGCATAATCACAGAGTCTGTTTAAATGTCACCTGCCTTTATATGGCTATTTAAGTCTACTGCATGCCCATTTTAACAAGGAATGTATGAAACAGTAAAAAAAAAAAAAAAAAAAAGATCAAAGGCAGCTGATATAAATCTTGGAACAGGAGAATTCACAAGTTGGACACAGCATGTTCACTGCTGATGGTGTGCATCTATGGATATAAGAATAGAGGTGGACTGGGGAAACATTCTGCTTTAAGTTACTGCTGTTAATATTTAAGCTGCTGATTACATTTATCTGAATAAATTAAAAACAAATTAAGCTGCCGGCTGCACTCTCCAAACTATCACTGCTGCAGATGGCTGCAGAAGATTTGCTACCATAAATACAGAAATGTGAGCCTTTCTACACTTTTCCCAAACAGTTTGTTTCATTGGAGACCATTGCCCCCACTTCTCCCTCCCCCACCAACCTCATCCGTGTCTATGGCAACCATGCTGCCAGTAGGCAAATCTGTGGGTGAGGTCTTCTGAACTTTGGGGGCGGGGCCTCTTTTACTCGTGATGGCAAATGCTGCTCTCTGGTGACGGTACAGTGTGATGATCCCCTTCGTCTTGTTGACCACGTGGTTCATGCCATCTTTATCAGACACACCAGCTAAAAGAGATGAACATATTCGCGTTAATAACACGCCAAACCTTCTCACACACACACACACACACACACACACCATAAAATGTGTGGAACCACTATACCCTTAAAGGGAACACAGTGATTAACAACTCCATTGAGTTGAAGTGCAATTGTTCGATCTATGAATACTTTCTGTATGGGATTTTAATCTATAATCAGTCTCTAAGTTCATTTAAAAATCAAACAGCTTTGTCAGTCTCATTTCAAACAGGCAAAAAGCAATTTACACATCGCAAATTATCCTTCCTGCTGGGCCACCAAATTAGGTTTCCAACACAAATGACTCATTAAACCAGAACACAAACCAAGCATACAATTAAGCAGCGTCACGCTTCTTAAAGTCTGCATTACAGAGGAACTGGGGTTCTAACCTCAACAAAGACTGACTCAAAATCTAGTCAACCATTGTAAGACACAATTTGGCTTCTGTTTTCAGGGAGTTTCTGGGAGTACTGGATGTTTGGGTGGATGTGCCAGTGGAATCAGGAAAGGCAGCATGGGGGAACTCCAGTTTGATAAAAAAACAAACAAAAAAAAAAAAAAACATCCTCAGTACCCTGAAGGCCACAAGACTGACACACGGCTTCCCTCTGTTCACAGCACTCATTGTAGCTTATCAGGAAAACCCCATTTGCCAATTTCCTCTCAGTGCTCCACTGGAACAAACATCCCTTTTAAGTAAAAGAGCGACTTGTGCCCTCAGTGTAAACCAGAGCCAGATGCAAAACACCACCTACTAAAGCATTGTTTGTAAAAGACCTGTAATTTATCACATTTGTGCGCACTTGTCTTGAGTAACAGCATGAAGGACTGCAGCTTCGACACAGCCTGGATTAAGCGTTAGATTTACGAGTCATCTTTACATGATCAATCGCTCAACACATAGCCAGTGATCTGCTATGATCTTAATCAACCAGACACCCAGTGTGACATGCATTTCAAGCAAATCGCCATCTGGGGCTAACTTGGATCAAACACACTAAGCTTTCTTTGGCGGAGGAGGAAATGGAGGGGGGGGGGACCGAAAACGATTAAAGAGTCTGAAGACAAAATGCTCTGTAAATCTGCATTACTGGGAAGCAATCAATATAGATCACAGCAATCGATAACATTTATCAGCTGGTTTCTAGTCAGCATGAACGTTTTGTTCATGACATTTCAGACTCAGCAACTTGTCCTGCATCTAAGAAAACCAGGCAATCGTTTTCACATACATTTCTGTCCATCCGATGACTCAGCTGAACATCGGTCCAAGTTAAAAACCAGCAGGCTGTGGTACTGCTTGGCTGGTACATCAGTACACTGCCCCCTACCTGTTAACATCTTCCACATTTCCCCTTGCTATATTGGAAACCAGTTCAGTTTACCATAACAGGGATGGGGAAGGTGCAACGAAGAGCTACGAGAATGATTC